CAGAGTATTTTCGTGGGCTGGTGGGGCACTGGAGTGGTCAGAAGCTAGCCAGATCCCCTAGGGGCTCCCTCCAGTGTTTCTCTGGCTGCTTACACAGGTGCCCTGCTGGAGGTGTGGGTGACTTTCCAGCAGAAGTGGATTTTTCTGAATAAAGTTCTGCATGAAATGAAGATCCAGTTTCCTAGCTCTGAGCTGGTAGGGAATGGGGGTAAAGCAGAGCGGGCAAGGGCTCCTCAAAAGCGGGGCTCAGGTTGGAAGGGGGGAGCTACCTGTCACATTGGCGCTCACTTTTAACCTCTCCCTCAATACAGAACTCTCGTTTCAAGGCCGTAGATGATCAGTATCGGACCCTGATGCGGATCTCTGTAGCTGACCCCATGGTTCTGTCACTTATAGTGCCCAGTGCCAAGAGGAGCCCTTACTTTCAAGGCCAGCAGCTGCAACAGCTGTTGCAAGCAGGATCAGTGGAGCTGGAGGGCATCATCATGGCTCTGGAGAACGTGCTCTATGGGGTGTGTGCACACTTCCCCCGCCTCTTCTTCCTTAGTGACAATGAGCTGGTGGCCCTGTTGGCTGCCTCACCAGAGTCCTGTGAGGCCCAGCTGTGGGTACGGCGTTGCTTTCCTCACGTGCATGCTGTGAGCTTCCAGTCCAGCCCAACCGATGAGAAACACCTGGATGACCGGGCAATGAGCCAGAGCACCCAGACTCAGATGGCAGCACTGGCCGTGCTGGGGGCCGCTGGGGAGGAGATGAAGTTGCAAGGGTCCCTTCCTCTACATCCAGATCTCCCCAAATGGCTGGCCTCTCTGGAAAAGTGTCTGCGCTTGACACTGGTGCACAAGCTGCAGGGCTGTGTGGCTGCCCGCCTTGCTCTGGACCCATCTCTAAGTGAAGGCCTCAAGCAGTTGCCCCAGAAAAGCCAGTTGCTCCTGCACATGCCTGTCCACCACTGGCTGGATTTAGTCCAGGCCTTCCCGTGGCAGTGTGTGCTGGTGGCAGAGGAGGTGGTATGGCGGGCCAAGATGGAGGAGGCTCTGCTGGAGGGGGACACCCTGGCCATGGTTCCCATGCATATACACAAGGTTGAAGTGCTTGTGCACTTTGTGCGGGCCCAGAGGAGCTCCCAGGGTGGGGAGCCTCTGCCCTCTGTCCGCCAAGCCAGCCTGCTCAGTGCCCTGCTGGCCATGGCAGTGACCCACCGGGATGTGGCCCGGCTGCTGGAGCAGCACCAGGTCACTAAGCTTACAGACTTCCACTGGGCCCGCCAACTCAAATATCACCTCGGGTCGTCTCACGTGATCCCACACAGCCCCATGCAGAGTCTCAAGGCTATTGCGTCTGCTGAGCCTTCTCTGTCTCCAGCTGCATGTTGGATAGATGTGCTGGGCCGGTCCTTCTTATACAATTATGAGTATCTGGGTCCCAGAATGGGGCCTCTCCCCAGCCTGCTGCCTGAGCGGCCAGTCCTGGTGTTGTTATTGGCCCTGGAAGAGGTGGCCTGTGGGACCCTAGTGGGCTGTGATGGAGTGGGCAAGACTGCCGTGATGAATAGTCTGGCCCAGGCCCTGGGCCGCCAGCTAGTGATGATGTCCTGCTTGCCTCAGATGGAGGCCCGATGTCTGAGCAACTATCTGAACGGTGCCCTGCAAGGTGGTGCCTGGCTGCTGCTGGAGGCAGCTCATTACCTGACCCCTGGCTTGCTTTCTGCCCTGGGCCAGCGTCTGATTGAATTGCACCATCTCTATGCCCCACTGTACCAGGAGGCTTCCCAGAACGCCAGCACCGTAGATCCCACCCAGCCCCAGCTCCTTGGTAGTGGCTTCTTTGAGAACCATCATGTGTCCATGCGCCTTGGCTATGGCTGCTTCCTGACCTTGCGTGCCCTGAGCCCTGGTGTGCCTGCCAACCTGCACCTGCTACTGCGGCCTGTGGCATTGGCACTGCCCAACCTGCAGCAAGTGGCAGAGCTAACCCTGCTGAGTGCTGGGATGCGGGATGCCTCCCGCATGGCTACCCGCCTGTCCAAATTCTTTTCCCTAGAGCGTGAGCTGGTGCCTGGGCCCCTGCCCTGCCGCTTGCCATTGCTCAGGCAGGTACTGGAAGATACAATACAGACACTAAATGTGACTATGAAGGAGCTCAACTCCCAGCAGCCCCGTGGTCTGGCTGCCATCGAAGAAGCTGCCCTCCTGCGAGCCCTGCTGCGCTCACCACTTTTCAGCATCCTTGATGGGCTCCGACTGCACAACCTCCATGAGCTGCTCTGTGGGCTTTTCCCTAGTGCCAGCCAAGTGCTGGCAGAGCCTCTGACCCAAAGGCTCCTGAAGCCGTTAGTAGTGGAGGAACTGCGGCAGATAGGCCTGCATCCCAGCCCTGATATTTTGGGGTGCTTGGAGCAGCTGAGTCAGGCCCTGAGCCGGGCCTCAGGCATTCTGCTCCTGGGCCCTGCAGGTAGTGGAAAGACCACTTGTTGGAGCAGCTTATTTAAGATCCATAATCGGCTGGCAGCCATGGAGGACACCTCGACTCACAGCTGGCAGCCTGTGGAAATCACTCACCTGTACCCCAGTGTCCTCAGCCCCCAAGAATTCCTAGGATGTCTAGAGGGCCCTTGCTGGCACTATGGCATCTTTCCCAGGCTACTTCATGCAGTTCACCTTTGTAATGACATGGGCCCAAAAGGGCAGACCGAAAAATTGGTGGGAATCCAGCACTGGATGATATGTGATGGAGCCCCTGGTGCTGCTTGGCTGGACTCCATCACCAGCCTCCTGAGTGACCCTCCCCAGCTTAGCCTCCCCAATGGTCAGCAGATAGCACGACCCCCAGGTACCTTTCTCTTGATGGAGCTGGCAGATGCGACAGGCATGTCCCCCATGGTGGTGGGGCGTTGTGCTCTGGTCTGGTGTGGTGGAGAGCAGACTTGGCAGAGTACACTTAGTGCCCTGATGGCAGCTCTGCCCCATGAGTACCGCCTGGATCTCCAGACAGTCACTGAGCTCAACCGCCTGGCTGACGTTCTGGTGCCTGCAACGTTCCGATTCCTCGTCCGCCAGGGTGCCAGCTCTCTGCTGCAGGTACATGGGCAGCAGGCTGTTTGCCCAGGAGTGGCTGAAGTCACCAGTCTGGCCCGCATATTGCATGGTCTGCTTGACCCCTGCCTGCGCCTAGATGAAGAAGAGAAGGCATACGGCTATAGCCTAGGTGGGGAGACAGCAGGGCTATTTTAAGGGAGATGGGACCTGGGGGGTACAACTGGAGCCTGGGGTTTTTTGGTGGAGCTGGGTTAGGGGACTTAAAATGAGAAGTAATAAGGTCAGCCTCCACTCTTCCCTCCATCCTCTACTTTTTTTTTTTTTTTTTTTTTTTTTTTTTTTTTTTTTTTTTTTGCAGAGGACCTCAACTGTAGCGATCAAGTGACCCAAAGTTTCAAGTCTTTGAAAAGCAGCTCTCGATCCCAGGCTGACCACAACGATGTGCCGAGTAGGTGCAGGGAGCACTTGTTGGCTGTCAGCAGTTTTCTTTTTGCCTTGATCTGGGGCTTTGGAGCTCACCTTCCCTCCAGGTAGCTATAGGGATGGGGGACGCAAAGGGCTGAGATGGGCCAGCCCATGGGAGTCAGAACTCCCATGACATCACTGGTGGGAAATGGTAGAGTGTGAGTGTCTCACAAATGGAACTGTTGTAGTTGTCTGACACTTTTCCCTATGTGTGCCTGATTAGGTTCTGGCCTCTCTTTGATACCTTCATAAGGAGTTCTATTAACTGCCTCTCCAACTACCCCGAGCTACCACCATCCACCTTCGTGTTTGATCTGCATGTAAGCCCTGAAGATGGGACGCTGGTCCCCTTCACTGGCCAATTCCTGAATAGCCACATCAAAGGAACTCTGGGCACCTTCTACCCTTCTGCACAGGTATGAGGACAGTGGGAGCAGGGGCTGAGATTAGAACTTAAGGAAATATCTTAGGGGTAATTCATGTTTGAGGCCCAGCTGTGGCCTACCATCTCCCATTCTTTGATTATGTTTCCATCATCAAAAAATTCATGGAAAAATAAATATAAATTTATTTTGATACAAATTCTGAAATCTATGCATAGTTTTATTTTTCATAATATGCATTTCCCATGAACTTTTGAAGACTCTCATACACATGAAGTGTTCTTCAAGTATAGACTGAAGCCAAGTCCCCCAGACATCTATTTTCTACCATTTGTCCTACACTGGAGCTTTCCATGGTAAGCCCTGCTCTCGTCCTGCAGACTGAACGGCTTTTGTATGTGGTGGACCTACTTCTGTCAGGGGGACAGCCAGTGCTCTTGGCTGGAGAGGCAGCAGCGGGGAAGTCAACCTTCGTGGAGGTGCTAGTGGAGCCTAGTCACCCTTACATATACAGCCCCATCCACCCTGCCTTCAGTTCCAACCACCTTCGCCTCCTGGAGGAGTCCAGGGCCAAGCACAGTCTAGCGTGTGGTCTGGATACCAACAGGATTCTAAAGGCTCCCTCCTCTTCCTGCTGGAGGATCTGCACCTGGCCGCCTCTGGTGAGGAGTGGGTGGAGGGAAGGGAGAAGCTACTGTCATCTCTGGAGACTAAAACCTCTATCAATATTCACTGACTTTCTATTATGTCTACATATCAAACTTCCATGTTTCATTCTTTTTCGTTTGTTTTGTTTTTATTGTGTTACAGTTTTCTTTATTATTTGAGTATCATTACCATTTAATCTTTCAACCATTATTCAGATGGGAAAATCAAGGTTTATAAAGTCTAAGCAATTTACCCAAGCTATGTTCCATTCTTCATATATTCTCATACTATATATGCTCCCTCAGCAATCTCACCTACTCTCGTAATGTCACCATCTCTTTACTTTGGTAAGTCTCAGTCTCTAACTTAGGCTTCTAAGCACCATACCTCTTTCTCCAACTATCCACTGTACATTTCCACCTGTTGTCCTTTTGGTACCTCAGACCCAATCCTGAGCTATCATCATCTTCCCCAAAATATGCACAAAAATAGATTTTATTGAAGCTAAAAACTAAAAATCTATGCCCTTCACCAGCCTCCAGAGTGGATCAAAGTGTTATCACTTTTAAAGGACTGAAAAAAATTAGCCACAGACAAACAGAAAATATGGAGAAAACATATACCTGATAAAGGATTCATATCCAGAATAAGAAAAAGCTCCTACAACTTAATAAGAAAACAAACATCATCCCAATTATTTTACTTTTTATTTTAATTATTATTATTATATTTTTGGAGAGGTATGGTATAGAGCGTGTGCGCTCATCAGAAAAAGAGAAAGAGAGAGACAGAACGTGAGAAATCACCCCCCAGGGGGGATAGCCATGCTGCAACACCTTCTCCTCCATTCACCTCTTGAGATCTTGGGCACGCACGCACACGTGCCCGGCATGAATTTAAGCCATTGGGTCCAGGACTCAAACCACAGTCAACTACATGGGAGTCCAGCGACATAGCCATTACACTAACTGCTGGTCCCTTTAATTTCTTTTTTGCCAGAACACAAGTGTGTTCACCAGAGAGGGAGAAAGAGAACATCTCCACACCCAAGTGGGGTATGGTCATGCTGCAATACTCTACTCCATTTATCTACCCTGTCGGGATTTTGGACATGCACACACATGTACATGGCATGTTTTTTAAGTTGCCTGGGCCAGGATTTGAACTGTGGTTGGACAGGGCTTAACCACTGCTCTGGCCCATAGCAATTATTTAAATGGACAAAAGACTTGAACAGACACTGCACAAAAAGATGAGTGGCCAATAGCACATGAAAAGATGTTTGATGATATTGGGCATCAGTGAACTGCAAATGAAAACCACCATGTGATAACACTTTGATCCACTGGAAAGATTTTCATTAGAAAGACTTACAATAGCAAGTTTTTCAAAGATGTGGGACAACTGAAACTCCCATTTTGCTGGTGAGAGTATAAAATGGCACAACCACTATGAAAAATGGTGTGCTGGTTTCTTGCTAAATTAAATATATATTTATCACAAGACTCAGCAGTTTCACTCTTAGGTAGTCACCCAAGTAAAATGAATATTTTACATGTTCTTGAATTTAAGTATAAATTTATTTTATTTATTATTTATTTATTATTCAAAACTGAGAAACAACCTAAATGCCCTTCAACATTTCAATAGATCTATGAATTGTGGTATTTTCACAATGAAATACTATGAAGGAATAAAATGAAAAATACTACTGATGCACAGAAAAACAAGGGTGAGTCTTAAAAAACATGCTGAGTATCTTGAAGTAACTAGAAAAGAGGATTCTTTAAATGTTTCTAAAACAAAATGATAGATACAGTAATGGTCCTGATTTAATCAATACACAACAATTATGTTATTATTGAAAAATCATACTGTACCCCACAAATATGATTTGTCAATAAAAATATATATGTTGGGGATCAGCAGGTGGCGTGGTGGCTAAGGCCCTAGACACTCCCACATGGCCGACCATGGTTTGAGTCCCAGAACTGGTGGCTTGCTTTCTCACTTTCTCTCTCTCTGTCTCTCTCTGGTCAAATTAAAATAAATGAATGAATAAATAAAGTTAAATAAATAATTCTTTAAAATATATATATATACACATCAATATAATCAAATAAATTAAAAAATAAGCAAGGCTGTCCCCTGGAGTGGGGCAGTAAAGCGCTGTGAGATGGCAGCCACATTCCACATGGCCAACAGCTATTCAAATCCCAATCCCTGAGGCTTGAAACATGCCAGCTGCATGTGTCCCATGCCCAGGATTTTGACAGAATGGAGAAAAGGAGGAAAAAGAATTGCAGTGTAACAGACTCCTTGGAGGGGGGGGGAGTGCTTTCTTTCTCTCTCTCTTCTCTCTCTCAGGCATGTGTACATGCTCTCTGGCATTAAAAAAGAAATCTTAAAAAAAATTAAAACATGCTGACTACATGACAGACACACTTAAGTACATGCTATATGATTCTATTTATAAATTCTACAACAGGCAAAGCTAACCTGTAGTGCTAGAAATCATACTAGCTAGCAATATCCAGGATGATGGTGGTAGGGAGATTAACTGTAAAGGGACAAGCGGGAACTTTGGCGGGAGGGCGGTGATGAAAATATTCTATTATTGGGGTGGTGGTTACACAAGTGTATGTATTTGTCGAAACTCATTGAGCTATATATATGCTTAAAATGTATACATTTTATGTAAATCATGTCCTTGTTTGTTTGTTTGTTTGTTTTGTTATAGGGTACATATTGCCAGAGAGACAGACAGAGGGAAAATAAGAAATCCCCCTGAGGGGGGATGGCCATTCTCCTCTTGAGATTTTGGGCATATGCAGACATGCACCTGGTGTGTTTTTCAAGTCATTGGATCCAGGACTCGAACCATGGAGTCAACCATATGGTATTGAGCCACTTTAACCACCAAGCCACTGGCTGATGTTGTAAATCTTGTCTTAAAATTTATTTTTTAGGGGGATCAGCAGGTGGCATGGTGGTTAAAGTGCTAGACACTTCCACATGGCTGACCATGGTTCAAGTCCTAGATCTGGTGACTTTCTCTCTCTCTCTCTCTCTCTCTCTGTGTGATCAAATTAAAATACATGAATTAATAAATAAAATAAAATTTAAATTATAAAAAAATTTATTTTTTAAAAGTGTGCATGCAATACAACCCCACTCTCTTTGAGGGAAATGATTGTACTTTTCCCCTAAGTGTTATCAGATCTGTATTCATTTGCCTCAGTTTCCAAATCTTACTATTCATTACATCTTACTAGTCATACAGGCAGACTGTAGAGGAGAAGAGAAAAGGAACTGTCAATTTTAGGGAGAGTGTAAAAGAGAGAGAACAACTCACTCAGACGTGACCAGGTTCCAACACATCGGATGCACAGAACTCCTTTAGAACCCTGAGTAAGCTGAAGCAGACCCAGTAAGACAGGCACAGGAGAAGCAGGGTGACAGTCTGAGAAGGACTCGTACATGTCCTCACTGTTATTCTTCATGTCCCACAGACCCGGAGAAGAGCTGCCAGCCAGTGTGGGAGACTCTGCGCCAGGCTATAGATGGCACCGTGTATGCCCATAACACCTTGGAATTGCAGACGCTGCAACCTACAGTCAACTTCCTTGCCACAGCCACAGTGCCAGGCTGCTATGAACGCCCACTGTGCCCACGTCTCTTTCGACTATTCACAGTGCTGGCCCTGGACACCGTAACCCAGGCCACCCTGCTGAGCAGGCACGTGCCCAGCATTCAGGCGTGGCTTGAGCGCTTCCCCTCTGTGGAGAGGGAGGGTGTTCTGGCAAGAGCCCTGGTCCGAGCCTCGGTGGAGGCTCTGGAGGCTGTGTGCAAGTGCTTCATGCCATCACCCCTCCACCCACACTACCGCTTCTCCTTGCACTCTGTGAGCCACCTCCTGGGCAGCCTGCAGCTGCTGCCCACCAGAATGGGCTCCCGAGGATTTCTGGACTGCCCCAATCACCTGGAGCACTTGCGCAGGGTGTCAGGCTTGCGCGGCACTCGCCTTACTTTTATGATAGCCACGCGCAACATGGTGCGCCTTTGGTTGCACGAGGCCCAGAGGACTTTTTGTGACCGACTAGACAGCTCCAGGGAGCGCTCCTACTGTGCCAAACTGCTCCTAGAAGTGGCTCAGAATGTCTTCTGCTGCGGGCCAGAGCCCCAGCATCTGGGCAAGGACCTGGAGGAGGAAGAAGAGGAGGAGCGAGTGCCTGAAGTGGAATCTGAAGGGGAGCTGGCTCGGTGGGAGGATTTAAACAACAGTGACAGTGAGACAGAAGAGGAAGAGAATCCCTGTGGCCTTCAGGTCACCACAGGCTCACAGTCTAGCGATCCAAGTCTAGAACCATCCCTGAGAGCAATAAGCAGGGAGACCACAGAGAACATAAATTACAAGATAAGGCAAGAGGAGAGCACAAAGGCTTCTAGCTACAAGATCCAGGCAAAGAAATCCAGGAGTGGGTGGCAGAAGACAACGCAGGTGGACCTGGTCTCACCTCTGTTGCTTCCAGTGCTCTTACTTCGTCCCCAGGAAAAACCCTCAGACCTGGTCTTTAGTCAGGAACTGATACTGGCTTCCAGCTCTGAGAGCACCAACTTGTACCTGGAACGGCAATGGGAAAACCTGGAAAAGCAGCTGGCCACCTCAGCCGCTCAGCTGAAACTGAACCCCCACCTGGCCCAGTGTCATTCTATGGCTCAGCACGTAGCTCGCCTCGTCCGGGTGCTGTCCAGGCCCCGGCAGCATGGCCTACTGCTCTCAGGGTTTCCAGGTACTGGGCGCCAGACTGCCATCACTCTGGCTGCTGGCATTTCTCCAACTCGCCTCTTCCATTTGCCATCTGGGCCAAAGGAGGCCATTCTCCAGTGTCTACGAGATGCCAGCTGGCATGCTGGCATTTTAAGCCAGACAGTGGCCCTTCTGGTACCCCAGGGCGTGGATGTCACTACCCTTCATTGCCTCCTGGGCTTAGCAACCTCAGGCAGTTGCCCTAACCTGTATACAGAGGCAGATCTCGACAGAATTGAAGAAGACCTCCCTAGAGAGACCCCTGGTATCAAACAGAACATCAGGAAAGAAATGGTGTTGCAGAGGTGAGGCCAAGGACCCTATTCTTGAGTCTGCTCTGCCCTTACTCTGTCCTAGCCAAGATGACTATCAGAAATTTATGGGCTGCTGCAAGGGCACAGAAGGTCAGGACTCAGAGTTGGGCTGGGGGCATGAACAGGCAAGCAAAGGTAAAGGGGAAGACAGCGCTGATCCCTACCCCACAGGTTCTATCAACAAGTTTGCGGCCACTTGCACATGTTCTTCCTGATTGGAGATGACCAGGCCCGCAAGCAGCTGCCTTCCACCCTTCTCCTGAGACTCCTTCAACTAACCACTGCCAGCATTGACCACTATGAACCCTGGGAACAAGCTGACCTGGTCAAGGTGGCCCAGCACCACCTGGAAGGTGCTCAGAGACTACCTTGTGATGATGGTGAGCCATTTCACTTCTCCTTACTACTTATCTCAGCCAGGTTCTAACGAGGGTGAGTACCTAGGTCAGTCTCTCTCTTTTTCTCTCTTTCTCTCTCCTTTCAACAAGAACCCCTTTTACCTTTTCTGCCTTCCATATTGAGCTGGGAGAGGGTCCCTTTCCTTTCCCATTTCCCTACTAGCTCATAAAGACAATCGAAAGCAATACCCACTGCAGGCTTCTGGAAGTGCCCAGACCTCCAGACCTCAGTTTCCAGCGTGGCCAAAGCCATGGCGCTCATCCATCTTTCGGCTGCTGATTACCATGAGCACCTGTGCCCCATGTTGCCACTCGTCACCCCCAAGACCTTTCTGGACTTTATGGACACCTTTCTACTGCTGCAGCAGCAGATGACCCAGCAGATAAGGAGCAAGGCCTGGCGGTGAGTGGCCCCATCCTCTGCAGGGGATTCCCTTCTGCTTCCCTGTGTCTGCTCACTGGCATGGTGTATCTCCAGGATCCAGAATGCCCTGGAGAATCTGAGAATGCTGATCGAGCAGCACAACACTCACACCAACCTGGTCTTCACCTTGGAACAGCAGCTGAAGGGCTCCCGCAAGGTAAGGTGAGAGATTGTGAAGTTTATTCAGTGGAACAAGAGCCCAAGAAGGAACTTGGGAGAAGCCTACCAAAGTGAACAGAAGTTCTTGTCTACCAAGTCCCCCTTTCTTCAGGGGCTCTCTCTCACCCCTGGTATCTGCCTTGTAGCTCAGACTCGAATGTTCTCCATGGCTCAGCTGAGATTAGATTGATTCTTCATAACACACAAAACCCAATGCCCCTCCCCACCATCCAGGGGTCCCTAGTGCCTTGACTGGATGAAATTCTTGATGCTCTTTTTTTTTTTTTTTTAATTTTGCATTTAATCATTGTAAATCGGTAAGGTGTACAACATGGTTTTTCGAAGCATGAATATAGTGTGTAAAAGTCAAGTCAAAGACATTACCATATACATTATCATAAGCAGATAACCTTTCATTTTTGTGTCTATTAAATGCATTGTTCATTTCACGATGCTCTTAAGATGGCTGTAGAGTTCCATGGGGGTTAGGGGAGGGGGAGAATTACATTTCACAGTCACCTCCTACTCTAATTCGGTTCTTCCCTTGAATTCTTTATCACTGACAGTTGGCTCACATCTTATAGCTATCCTCGTTTCCCATACTGCTTTGACTTGGCATTTCTCACACACAAGCACCAAATAAATATACAAGGCTGTTGTGTACAGTGAGGAATGTGGATGAGGATGGCAGCAGGGAGGATTTACATTGTAGAACGGAACCAGAGTAGGTTTACATGGTATGTTGGATATCAATGTCCAGAATGTCATCAGCTACCCTCCTACACTGGGCACTCCCAGGAACCAGCCTTTCCCTTCCCTCCATGTTTCCAGCAGCTGCTCCACAATGTTATTCAACCTTCCCGATTTTCTTTTAGAGCTTTCCAAATATGGTTCTCATATCATAAGATATTTTTTCCCTAATCCAAACCTTAAATCCTTTTGCTATTTTCTTTTCTTTCTTTCGTCCTTCCTTCCTTCCTTCCTTCCTTCCTTTTTCTTTTTCTTTTCTTTTTTTATTTTTCTTTTTGCTAGAGGCCATGTGTGCTTACCAGAGAGAGAGAGAAAGCACACTCCATGGAGAGGGTGGGTTAGACCACAATCCCTTCTCCTCCATCTCTCTCTCCTTTCAGGATTTTGAACACACACACACACACACACACACACACACACACCTCTGGTGTGTTTCTGAAGGCTCAGGGTCCAGGACTCGAACTGCATGATTGGTCATGTGACATCCGGTCGCCTTAGCCAGCAGGCCACAGAACTGGGTCCCTGTTGCTTTCTTATACAGAGCAATCTACTTCTGGCTCATGACTAGCTAAAACTAGCAGGATGGTGGTCATCACACCTCCTATAGACAAACACTCCAGGTACAGGTGTTTTCCCAAACTAAAGATAAGTTTGTTTTCCATAAAAGGAATTCTGAAAGGTCCTTTTTGTTCTTCCTGCTACATAAGATTTTGATAAAGGTTCAGGGATAACTACAGAGAAGTAAAAGAGGGGAACCAGCAGATGGCATGGTGGTTAAGGGCACTCCCATATGGTTGACCGTGGTTTGAGTACTGGACCTGGAGCCTTGCTTTCTCATTTTCTCTCTCTATCTCTCTTACTCTATCTTTCTCTGATCAAATGAAAATAAATAAAGTTAAATAAAATAATTTTTCAAAAAAAGTGAACTAAGGTCCAGTTTGCAACTGGACATGCTGACTGACTTGCTACAGGCTTTCAGGCCAAATGCCTCCAAATACTTAGCCAGCCTTTCCTGAGGGTGCTCTGAGAGCTATCAGTCAGGGTTACAGAGCTCTAGAGGCATGGCTTATGCTGTGCCTACTGACCCAGTGGTCCAAAGTACCAAGGAAGGTTTTTCAGGGCAAGATTAGTGCCCAGTATGCAATACAACACACATGTGGAACATGGTAGGGGATCAAAAACTGTCTTTAAATAAGTAAATGGGGGTGCAGGGGGACCAGAAAATAGCATAATGGCTATATCACTGGACTCCCAGGTAGTTGACCGCCGCGGTTTGAGTCCTGGACCTGGTGGCTTAAACTCACGCGTGTGTGTGTGCGTGCCCAAGACCCTGAGAGGAAAATGGAGGAGAGGGGATTGCCATGTGGCCATCCCCACTGGGGGTTGATTTCTTGCTTTCTGTCTCTCTGTCTCTCTCTTTCTGGTGAGTGCATGCACCCTATAGCAAAAACCTCTCAAAAAAGCAAAAATAAAAGTAAACAGGGGCTAACAGGTGGTGTGGTGGTTAAGGTGCTGGATTCTCACATGGTCTACCATGGTTCTAGTCTCAGACCTGGTGATTTGCTTTCTCACTCTCTCTGTCTCTCTCTGGTCAAATTTAAATAATAATAATTAAATTAATCAAATTAAATAAATGTTTTTTAAAGAAGTGAGAAGAACCAGTCCCTAAGTCGGTGGTTAAGGAAACTGGATTCTCCATAGCCAATCTTGGTTCAAATCCTCACCCTGACAGCTTGAGAGAAGCATATTGGGTACATGTGCATGCGTTCTCCAAGTCCCGACAGGTTGAACAGATGAAGTGGAAGGGATTGCAGCGTGACCACATCCCACTAGGGGATACTTTTCCTCCCTCTATCTCTTTCTAGTGAGCAAAAACACCCTCTGGCAAATAAATAAATAAGCAAACAAATGAAGTACATCAAAGTTGATGACTGAAGGTTAGGTAGGATTTGGTTAGGTATAGAAGAAGGAGAGGAAAAGGAATTGCTTCAGGGACCGAAATAACAGCATGTGCAAAGTTCCAGCTACAATAGAATGTGTGCCACCTGGAAGAACTGAGTTAGGAATGGCTGAAAAGTAGAGTGCTAGGAAAGACAGACTAAGAGATGAGGTTGAAAAGACGAGTTAGGGGCCTGGTCATGGAGGCATTTCAAATGTAGGAGTGATAAGTGTCAAGGGACAAGATGATGATGAGATTCGATTTTAGAAAACCAGTCAGGTTGCAGCATGGGGAAGAGATTAGGGGAGGGGATAGAATAGAAACTGAGAGACAGTTAAGAAGCCAGTGCAGATGGTTGAGAGCAAGCGTCTGGGCAGAAGTGATGTATGTTGGAGACGGAAGAGAACACAAGAGACATTTAGGAGGGAGAACTGAAAAGCTTCCAAGATGGACTGGGTTTGGGAGAAGAGAGGAAATGAAGCCAGGGGTAACAACTGCATGTTTTCCTTAGGAAAATTTAGTTTATTTTGCTAGAGTTCTCTGAGAAAGCCCATAAGGAGAGGAGGATGTTTGCAGGGGAGCTGAGGAGCCATAACCAAGGCACTCATTCTTGGGGGAAGTCAGTAGGAAGAGCCTGTGAGACATATTAGAGATTTCCAGTACGCAGATGAATATATGATGAAGCAGGCTCGAGAGGGAGATTTTGTAATTGTTAGAATATAACAGGTAATCACGGAATGAGATTAAGGAGTGTGCGTGCAGGTGTAGGGTGAGAAGAGAAGGGAGCCTTGAAACAACTGCTGAGAAATAGTTAAGGGATGGCAGAGGAAGAGACCAAGAAAGAACAGAAGGAGAAGCTGGAGAAAGTCCAAGGAGAACATGGAATCATGAAGGCTGAGGGTAGAGGTTGCTTTAAGAGGGAGGAGGGTGTCTTCTGTGACACCTGCTGCTAACGAGTCAGGTAAGATGAGATGTAGTGGAACATCTACACGCTCGGGCTTTGGATTGAGGCTTCCTGGGCCTCTCTGGTGAGTGGCTGCTTTTCCTGCATTACTCAGGGCTGCATCAGTAAGTGTGTAGTTCCCAGACTAGTGACAGGCTTAGATCTCAGACTCTTGTCTGTGATCTATTGGAGTTCAACCTCATCACCCCAAGTCCAGGGCACCTACCCCTAAGATTCCCGCATGATCTAGGATCTGCAGCTGGAGACCCGGGTCTCTATCCACAGAGCCTCAGCATATTTCAGCAGCAGCTGGAGCAGAGCAAGCACCTGTACAAACGGCAGCTGGCAGAGTGTGAGCACCAGGAGAGCCTTGTTGAGAACCTGGCAAAGCAGCGGGATTCCCTACAGACACAGCAGGAGGCTTTCCTGGAGCAGGTGGGGTCTTCCTGCCACCTTCCGGCACAACTTCTCTCTTGGGAGAGGCTACCCACTCACAATATGCCCAGAGCAGAGGATGGAATGACTTATCATGGAACCTCCTGGGGGAGGGACAAAAGCAACAGGATGCCTTGGCAGGTGGCCTCTCATAGGGGGCTTACAGGAGGAGATGGTTCCTCCGCAAACACCTTGAAGAAAGAGCAGAGCAGCTCAGGAGCTCACCTGAGAGTGCATCTCTCCTCCTATAGATGGGCAAGGCATTTCTGGGGCCTCTGAGCCAGCTGCAGGTGGCGGATTTTGAGGAAATCCGGAGCTATCGCACACCACCGGAATCTGTGGTCCGGGTAACCAATGCACTGTGTGACCTGTTCCACCATGAAGCAGGTTGGGCCAGTGCAAAGCAGCTGTTATGCACTGAAGACTTTTATCAGGTAGGGAAGGCAGGGTACAATGAGGCATAAAGGGGAGACTTGGCAGGGCTATACTGCTGGCCAAGGTCTAGAGAATCCATACCATACATCATCTTAACACACATCCTTCTAGGAGCTGGTGTTCTTCCCCAAGGAGAAGATGACAGACTCAGAGCTGATCAAGTTAAATCTGGCTCTGAAGGCTCCAGGTTTAAGTGATGAAGCCCTGAGGGCCGTTAGCATCCCTGCAGCAAACCTGGCAGCCTGGCTCTGGGCCGTTTTGCGGTATGGGCTGGCACAGCGCCGGGGACTGCCCACGGGCCTGCTGCTGCGGCAGGTGGAGGCAGCACTGGCTCGCGAGCAGAGCCGCCTGGGCTACTACCAGTTTCGGACCCAGGAGACCCTGGAGCATACTTTGACACTGTCTAAGAAGCTGGAGAATGCCCGAGACTCCTACAGCCATGTGGCAGAGAGCCTTAGTCAGGCGCGGTGTGGCCGATATCACAAATGGCACGTAAAGGCTGCATTGCTCACACCCATGCACTCCTGGACTACACAGCTCCAGGTAACTATCTGGGAGGGAGAGATGTCCCCCCTCCTCAGTCATTTCACACCTGCCTGCTCCTTCCTGTGCCCTTACCGCCTCCTCCTGTTCTGCTCTGCCTTCCTGCTATCCTTTCCTCCACACCTCTTCCTCTGCTGTACCCTCAGCCTGCACCCTCTTCACTGGCTACAACCCCTCTGGTCTTCCCTTCCACACCAGCAACTGAAGGGACACTTCATGACTGTGTTTGGAGATGCCCTCTTGTGTTCAGCTGCCATCACCTACCTGGGTCCCTTTCCACCAGTGCGGCGCCAGGAGCTACTGGACAAGTGGTTGGCTCTGTGTAGGGGCTTTCAGCAGCCCCTGGGCCCAGATGATGTAGTGCAGGCAATGAAGCAGAAGCAGAAATCTGTCATCATGCCAAAGACGCCCCTGCTGTCCACGCGTTCTCCCTTCAGTATTCCATCCTTGCTGAGCTCTGAATCAGAACAGAACCAGTGGGATCGAGACCAGAAGCCCCAGGCAAAGTCAGCCCGCCTGGTGGGCCTGCTTCTGCGAAGTCAGAGCCACTACCGCAGCTGCCGCTGGCCTCTGCTGCTTGACCCCAGCAACCAGGCACTCATCTGGTTGAAACCGCTGCCTCGGGAAGAGAATAGAAGCTTGGCACCAGCCTCACCTGAGGATAGTGGTAAGGCCAGGGACAGCACACACAGAACTCGGTGGAGTCTAACCTGCCCACCTACCTTGGTCTCCCCATTTAATGAAGACAATGACTTTTGTTTTTAATTCATAACAGAGAATGCATATACACACATGCATGAATGTATGCATTATACACACATGAGAGAGAAAGAGAAAGGGAGGAGGAAGAGAGGCACACCCTCAACAGTGCTTTGTCATGCTGCGATCCCCTTCCCAAAGTCCTCCAATTTGATGACATCTTGGGTGTGTGGGTGCATACTCAGCATGTTTTCAGGTTGACCTAGGGTCCTGAACCTGCCATCAGCCATGTGACTTCCAGCACTGCAGTTCCATTGGCTACCAACTGTGCCACCAGGCTGGGCTGAGACACTGAATTTTTGAGCCAAAAAACTCAGATTTCATGTATACTAAATTAATTTCTTTCTCCATTTCTCACTCCTGTTGGGATTTTGGGCACACACACACACATGAACCAGCCACCCGATCTGGGACTCGAATGGTACAGTCAGCTATGTGGGTTTGAGCCACCTTAACCACCTTGCCACCAGCTGGCCCCCAAAGTAATAAATTTGGCCACTTTTTAAAACCTGTGTTATAATGATCTACAATCTATAATCTACATGACTGTTTAGTCCATGATCTTCTATTTCCCTGGTCTGTTCAGAACTATTGAAAACCTGGTCCACAATTCAGAGATACCCAGATGTATTCCATGTTCAGAAATTCCAGGGGAATATTTCTATTGGTTCTGTGTGGATCAGGGACCCATCTGGGTAGAGTATCAGAAGGAACATTTCCTAGGAGAAGGAAGGGAGAATGTTTCTATCCCAGAAGGAGTTGAGAGTTGAGTTGGTAAGAAAAATGTGACCTTATTTGGAAAAAAGGTCTTTGCATGTATCATTAAGCTAAGGACTTAGAAATGAAATCATCTTGATCATCACCTGGGTTGTCCCTAAAACCTAGGACAAGTATCCTGATAAGAGGCAGAAGAGAAGACATAGACACACAGAGAAGGCCATGTAGAAATGGAAGCAAATACTGAACCTAGGCAGCTATAAGCCAGGGAACATGTAGAACCACCAGAAGCTGAAAGAGGCAAGGAGGGAGTCTCCCTAGAGAGTGTTACCTGGCTGCCACTTCGATTTCAGATTTCTGGCACTAGAACTATGAGAGAAAAGGTTTCTGTTGTTTTCAGTCACGAGGTTTGCGTTCATTTGTTATGGCCAGCCTATGCATCTAATACCTACCTCACCTGCTGCCCTTACATGCATCATGTCAGAGCTGCCCTCCATCAGGAAGCAAAGGTTTTCTGGAAGTCCAAATTCCCACATGTGGTAAGCAGAAATGTGGTCCCTGTGACCTGTGTCTAATATTCACAGGTGTTACTACCGTGGTTGTTATGTCTCATGGCAAGGAGGCCTTTGGAGATGTTATCAAGGTTTCTAATCAGTGGACCTAGAGACAGAAATATTATCCTGGATTAGCTGGGTCGGCCCAGTGTAATCAAATGAGCCCTTCAAAGCAGAAAGGAAGAAAGAAGAGGGAAACAGATATTTGAAACATAAGAAGGATTAATAAACTATTGTGACTTGAAGATGGAAGGGGGCAACAGAACAAATGTGAGAAGGAAACGAGTTCTATGGAAAACCAGTAAGCTCCAGTCCAGCTGCAGCATTGTAAGTGGGAAGGTCCTGCTGTGCGATGGTTGAGGCTACGTGGGAGGCCTGGTTCAACTCCTGGCCCAAACTAAACAGTCCGGCACAGTGGTGCACACCTGTGGTCCTACTTGACTGGGAAGCTAGGGCAGTAGGACCACAATGAGACCCTGTCAAAAAAGAAAAACACCTCTCTCTCCTGCTCTCTCTCTCTCTCTCAAAACAAAACAACAACAACAACAACAAAAACAAAAACAGTAAACCTGGAAGGAGGGTCCCAGTCCCCAGATGAGAGCTATAGCCCCAGCTGATATCTTGATTTTATCCCAGTGTAACCATGAGCAGAGAATCCAGCCATGCTGTACAGGGCTGTGAGATAATAAACGAGTATTGCTTCAAGCTGCTAGGTTTGTAGTGATGTCTTAGCAATAGAAAATGAACATACTAGGGCCAGCTAGTGACATGGTGGTTAGGTGGCTGGATCCCACCTGGCCAACTATGCAGTTCAAGTCCTAGAACTAGAGGCTTGAAAAACACACAGGGCATGTGTGTGCGTGCATGTGTGTGTGTGTGTGTGTGTGTGTGTGTGTGTGTGTATGCCCAATTTCCCAAGAGGGGGATCAAGGAGAAGAGACCATGGCATGACCATCCCCCTGGGGTGTGACTTCTCACGTTCCCTCCCTCTGGCTTTTTCCAGCGAGCATACGGAAAATTAATTAATTAATTAATTAATGCACTAAACTATGGGTTTGGCAATCCCACTTGCAAGAGAACCTAGGGAAATAAAATAAGTATGTATTTTCTCTAGCTGCTGCATTGAAGAGGCAAGGAAAAGGGGGATTAAGAATGACTGCTCATCAGTCATGCAAGTCCACCATACTGTCCATGACTTGGCTAAGTCCATGGTTTATGATCTTTCACTCGCAAGTCACTACTTCCAGGCACCAATTTCTACATTAGTGAAGACTCTTTTTAGTCGACAGTGCAGAATTTACTTTAGTAAAAAATGGAAATGTGTGAACTCTTCTAAGTAACTGACTGAAAGGACAGGAATGGAGCCAATTTCAGGGATAACCCCCTCCTAAGATTTTTAGACTAACAGCCAACACTTATTGAATGCTTACCATGTTGCAGACTCAGTGCATTGTATGTATCATTTCATCTAATCGCCACAGAAACCCCATAAAGTCCTCACTAATATCAATCCCATTTTGCAGCTAAGGATGTTGAATCAGAGAGAGCTTAAAATGTAACTTTCCCGGGACCAGCAGTTAGCGTAATGGTTATGTTGCTGGACTCCCACGTAGCTGACCGCAGTTCACGTCCGGGACCCGGTGGCTTAAAACTCACGCCAGGCGCGTGTGCGTGCGTGCCCAAGATCCCGGGAGGAGAATGGAGGAGAAGGGATTGTGGCATGACCATCCCCCCTGGGGGGTGATTTCTTGCTTTCTGTCTCTATGTCTCTCTCTGTCTGGCGAGCGCACGTGCCCTATAACTGTAAAAAAACTGTAACTTTCCTAAGATCTCTTTCCTGCAGTCCACCCCTCATGAAACGGAGCCCTTCTGAGCCCAATTCCTTCCTCCCCTGAGAGCTCCTCTGCGTCTCTGTCCCAGGGAGAGGCCTCAAGAGAAATCAAAACAGAAGGAATAAAGAGAACACAGAGAAGGAAGATGTTGACAGTGAAGAAGATGAGTCTAAGGACCAGGAAGAAGAGAGGAAAGCAGAGGAGGAGAAGAACAAAGAGGAGATGATGGAGCAAGAACAAGAGCAAATGGAGAATGGAGAAGGAGAAGAGGAAGAGGAGGAGAGTGAGACAGAGAGAAAGGGGTCAAAGCCAGCCTCCGAAGCTCAGTCTCCACCTCTTCCCAATCTCACTGTGCTCTCAGGTGCTGACCCAGAGCTGGGTCCTCAGCTCCAGAGGGCAGCTGCTGGTGGTGAGAATCGGTCCCCACCCACCATGTCCTTCTTTTGTCCTCTCCTCATGCTGACCCCCTGCCCCCGACAGGCCTCTAATACCTCAGTCTGACCTCAGTTCCTGTCCAACCCAGGCACTAACTAGATTGAGGATTCCTGAGGGCAAACTCTCCTATCCGTTGGGGGGTGGGGGGGCAGGGGGGCTGGTCAGAAGCCAGATCTTGTCACGGGGTGGGATATGGGTGCTGGCACTGTGGGTAGGTGTCTTTGACTCCCCTTCACAGGCCTGCCTGTGCTACTGACCAACATGGAACTGGGCCTAGAATGCCAAGAACTACATTGGTTGCTGCAGCGGGAGCAGCTGAGCCCACCCCAAGTGCAGCCTGGCTTCTGTCTTTATCTGAGCACTACCCTCCCCCTCCATGCCTTGGAAAAAGGTAAGGCCCGCAGCCGGCTCAGGATGTAGTTGGAGCCATAATCCCTGTTCACCCCACCCCCGGCTCTGCCGAGGAGAAGGAGCTAAGCGTCTCCATGTGACCCCCAGTGCTAGGTTGTAAACTTCTAAAAGGGCTGAATGTGCTGGATCTGGGCCTGAACATGAAAATACTAGAAGAGCAGATGCTGCATGAAATTGTGTACCGAGAGAGACCTGGACTTGAGACCCGCTGGCAGGACCTGAAGATCGGAACTATAGATACCTGTGAAGCCATGGAGATTGCGGAGGTGCTTGGGGGGCCAGCTGAGGGGTTGGGATGAGCATTGAAAGGGCCCAGGAATGGGTTAGTGATGCCTGCAGGTGTGTGGGGACTGGGGCAAAGGGTCAGATCCATTCAATAAATGACCACACGCAGGAACGACTGCTCACGATGCTGCTGTTCAAGAACCAAAAGCAACTGCAACCATCCAAGTTTCTGCGGCACCTGGTGAGGGCCCAGGCGGGGCTGTGTCAACTGCGTGCCCATTTCGAGGAGCTAGAGGAGCAGAGGCTGCAGGAAGTGGCATTGTGGGAACCCTATCAGTGTGTGGTTCAGCACGGAATGGCCATGATAAAGGCCCTAAGCCCCCTGCAGAACCTGCTGCCCTTTTTCCGTATGGGCCCAGAGAACTGGCTGACAGCCACCAAGCAGGCCCTGGACAGCATGAACCCAAATGAGATGCAGCATGGGGAGGACCTGGCCAGCCATCTGCTGCAGTTGAGAACACACCTGACCCGCCAGCTACTGGGCAGTGCTGTGGCCATGGTGGGCCTGACCCACGTACGCTTGGTGGGTGCTTTGGGAGCTTTGGCTCTGCTGCAAGTGACGAAAAAGGCATCAGAGCTGGAGATTCTGGCCTTCTGGCCTGGACTGGCAGCCTCTCCCAGCATAGGTCATGGCAAACTAGTTCCAGATGTGGCCCGACCAGCCTGGCTAGGGCCGAGAGCTTGGCACGAGTGTGGGTTGTTAGAGCTGCTGCCCCCATTTGCTGGGCTGCGTGCATCCCTGGCAGGCCATTCCAGTGTTTGGCAGGCTTACCTGTCACTGTCATCCACAGTGCTGGGTCCTGCACCTGGGCCAGGACCTGGGCCACTCAGTCTCCTTCAGAAGCTGATCCTCTGGCGTGTGCTCCGACCTGAGTGCCTAGCAGGAGCCCTAGCAGACTTCACCACCAGCCTCCTGGGCCGGCCCCTAGAGGAAAACCTGGGCGCCCACACCATCCCCTTTGAACATAGTCAGGCTATTCGGCCCATGCTGATCTTATTGCCACCAGCTGGTCACCCCACGGCCATCCTGCATCCGCTGACTGTCATCCAGAAACTGGCTGCCACACATGAGCAGGTTTGTATCTCGCCACAGTGATTGGGTTCCTGTGGGCTGGGATGGAGTATAGGAGTTCCCATCCACAGTATGCCCACGGATCTTTCTGGATTATGCAGAGACTTTTCAGATCATTGTGACATTATTCGGGGTCCCTTGGGTTACCCCAGGGCCACGTCGAGTCACAGTGTCATCTCTCTATTGGTCCCCAGGGGCAGAAGCATCTGCAGGTGATAGCCCTGGGTTCTGAAGCCTGGGACCCGGTCTCAGCTGTGGTCAGCAGGCTACACCAGGCTATGCACAAGGGGCACTGGCTTGTGCTGGATAACTGTCATCTGATGCCCCATTGGCCTAAAGAGCTGCTACAGCCCTTGCTGGGGCTGTCAGATGGAGCTCAGGGTAGGTTTGCTCCCGAGAGATGGCACCCAGGATCCTCTCATACCCTGTGGCTCAAGTTTGTACTTGGCTGTATGATTGAATCCCTTGCTACAAGCCTATCCTCTTGGCCTTGTATCTGACTCCTGAAACCCCAGTTTCATGCCTGACCCCCAGACTTGTGTCTGACCCTCGACCTGAAGACTAATCTCAGCCCCATATCTGACCCTACTGATCTCAGACCTGGAATTGGAGCTGCTTTCAGTCCAACCTGAAAGGAATAGGATCACTGTCCACAGAGATTTCCGACTTTGGCTTATCGTGTCTGCAGAGGCCAGTGCTTCCTTGCCAGGTGAGGGGCTTTCCCCCTACAGGCTGGCGAATTGGAGTGGAGAAAGCAACTACGCTGTGCTGACTCAGCCCTGTCCTTCCTCCCCAGCTGTGCTGACTCAGCGAGCCATGCCGGTTTTCTGGGACCAGTCTCTGGACCTGGGCCATGTCTTGATCGACAGTGTGGAGCTAGCGCAGCAAGGACTCCACATGCAACCCTCGACCCAGACTTTGCCTCTGGTCCTGTTACACAGCCTCCTGCTACACCGGCAGCTCTATGGAATCCGGCTGCAGGCACACAGGGGGCGCTGGTGAGGGACCCCGCCCTCCTGCTTAGTCACTCAGCACACTCAGTTGGCATTGGGTCATAAAAGCAGAGGCAAATAAGGTAGAAATGAGGCTTTTCTGAACACAGAGAACTAAGCTCAGCAGAGGCACAAGACTTCAGTGTGGCTGTGGTAAACATGCTGGGGGTTGAGGAGGGAAAGGTGAGGCTCAATGTAAAGGGCTTTAAGACTGCTGCAAGGAGCCCGGTTTTATCTCAAGGGTAATGAGAACCCACTGAAGGGTTTTTTGTAGAAGCATGAGCCTTTTCATCTATCGGAAAGACCATGCTGGCTGCAATGTGGAGAATGGACCAGAGGAGACAGACTGGAGGCAAGCGGGAGAGCTGGAGGCTCTGGCAGTCTCTAGGGAAGAGGCGTGGTATGGGTGGCAGAGACCAGGGAAATAGTCACAGCAATCAATGTGAGGGGAGGAAGAAGGAACAGTGAAGGATGACTCCCAGGTTTCTGCCTTAGACAACTGGGTGGCTGCGGGGACCTCTCACTGGAATAGGAGGTGGACACGTTTTATGGGGGAAACGACCTCTGCAGTTGAAAGCGCGTTCTGTTTGAGATGCCAGATGGCGGTGCCTAGTGAGCACTCCCAGGCCCAGTGCTCAGGAGAGAGGTTTGAGCTGGAGAAAAGATCTCCACACCCTGTAGGTGATATTTGAAACCCTACTTTCTGCTCTTCTCCCTCAGGAGTCAAGCAACCCTGACCCAGGTGCTTCAGACCCAAGGTCAGCTGTGGGCCAGCCTCAGCAATCCCAGTGTTGCCATGCAGGAGCTGACTGGTGAGACCCCCCCTCTCCATGCAGAGCCCCAGAAGAGCAAGGACAGGGCTGGGGTGGGAATACTGATACCCCGACATCCTTCATAACTTTGGGAGTGGGGTGGAAACTAGAAGAGCTTGAACTGAGGGTCTCCCACCTCATCCTCAGCCTCAGTTTTCTATGGGGCTCCAGTGGGGGACGTCAACGACAGGGAGGCTCTGATTAGCCTCGTGAAAGCCTGCCTGAGCCCCAGGAGTGGGAGCGGGGTCCAACCACACACACCCCGGCATCTGCTGGCCACGCTGATGCCCAGCCCAGGTAAGTCCCGCACAAATTCTTGTGTTGGGGTGGGAACAGTGCAGGGTAGTGCCGCCCCCACAGGAACGTGGAGAGCGCTCCTAAGAAAGATATGTGAGGGGACAGGATCCGCACAGCTGGGGGGAAGAAGAGATCGCACAGTGTCAAAGGAAGACCTGCTCTCTGGGGCTGCGGAAGGAAGAGTCCATCTTGTCCCTCACTCTCACCTCCCTCCCCAAGAGCTCGGGGAGCCGGATGCGATCGCCGAGTGCAAGGCCCAGATGCGCCTACTGCCCACGCCATCAGAGCCTCGGATGTGCGGACTGAGCGAGGGCCCCCAGACCTGGCTGTTGAGACTCCAGAGCCGCGCTCTCCTGAGTGCGCTGCAGCGCAGCTTGCCCAGGTGGGTTCCGGCTGCTCGCGAAGCGGAGCGACGCACAGAAAAGCGGCTGCGGCAACGCCTAGCGCAAGCCTTGCGAAGGCTGGAGTCGCTGCAGGCTCTACTGACCGACGCTACTCGCCAGGAGGAGTATACAACCCCTGCCCAACCCGCGGCGCTGGGGCCGCATACCCGGCGACCTCTGGAGGCCTTCCTGGAGAGCGAGGCGCTGGAACTGAGACAGCTGGTAGGCTTGCTACAGCGCGACCTGCGCTGCCTGTGGCAGCAGCTGAAGGGCGGCCCCCCGTGCGCCTCCCGGCGCTGTGTCGCGGTGGCCCACGCTCTCTGGACTGGCCTCCTACCCCCACCTTGGCGACTCCATGCGCCCGCCAGTCTGCAGCCGCCCTGGCACTGGCTGGGGCAGCTGTCGCGCCGGGGCCAGTTGCTGGTTCGCTACTTGGCGGTGGGCGTGGACGCCCGCACAAACGCACCCGAACGCGTCTTTCACCTGTCAGCCTTTTGCCACCCGCGCCGCCTGCTGCTGGCACTGCGTTGGGAGGCTGCCCTGCACCAGTACGTGCCCAGCCCGAATGTCTCAGGTAGCCGAGGCCTCGGCTCCAGCCAACTCCCGCATAAACGTCAGGAGCTGAACGGCAGCCCTCTGCACCTTCGGGTATCTTCCTACCACTCTTCGTCCCCAATTCCTCTCCCTCTAAGCCCCCTATTACATCTCGCGGTTACCCTACCTTGCCTTCCCGTGATCTTACCTTGAAGCCCGCCCCCCTTAGCCCCATTTTCTCCTCTAATCTCGTTCCTCCACGACCCAACCACCTCCGCCCTGCAGCTTAGCTTTGCCTGACCACCTTCTGGCGCCCCCAGGTGGAGAATGACCCAAATCCCACGATCCCAGAGATGGGGCTGCTGCTGATCGGGCTACAGGTCCTGCACGCAGAATGGGACCCGATCGCTGGGGCCCTGCAGGACAATCCTTCCAGCCAGCCCAGCCCACTGCCTCCAGTCAGCGTCAGTGCCCGGGCCCCAGTTGCCAGTGACTTGCCACATTCTGCGGGACTGGCTGTGTACTCCTGCCCTGTGTACATGGCAGGACCTCTTGGCACCACGAAGCTGCACAGCAGGAACATCTTAATGCACCTGCCCCTGCCCACGAAGCTCAGCCCAGCCACCTGTGTCCAACGCAGAGTCCATGTGTGCAGTCCACCCCTGATCTGAGCCCTCTACTAAAATAAAGTTGTAGCAATTTCTGAGATCTGGAAGGAGTAGGGTGAGCACACTGAAAGTGTAGACTTACACATATGGAGGGGAAAGCACATGTGCACAGTGGAAAGAGGAAGTGCATTCACAGGGAAGGTAGAAGAGGGCGTGGCGTGTGCCTAGTAGCTGGAGAAGGGAGAGCACAGGTACCCCTGGGGGAGCGAGACCAAGTATTCATCAAGGGGCTAAGCAGATCCAGCAATGGCTAGCATCCAGAATCCTGAATCCTTGCCCTGCTCTCTACTGTGGTCTCAGCAGCTGCAATAAAGCCACGAGGGATATTTTGGGGACCTTGAGAAGTCAAAATGCTTTCTTAAAGCATTTAATGGTATTATGGAGAATGTTCCAATCCTAACTTATCCCTACTTAATGATGAGTTCCGAGACCAGACACATGACAAACAAAAGCAAAGTAAGACACAAGGCCCTGTGTTCACTCAACAATTCGTAATTGATGCTCCTCAGAAGCAGGTGTTCTTCCAGGCACTGATGAGGCTATTCTAGTGCATGGCAACAGGCAGTAAAATGCCATCATAAACAATCTGGATGGTTTGAAGTGCTATAATGAAAACAAAACAGGCCTGTGTGTTATAGAGTGACCAGGTGGAGCAAGTAATAAAGTTTGGGTGGTCAGGGAAGGCTTTCTGAATATCCGAGAGCTATTTGAAGGAGTATTCAGGTAAAGCCTTCGGCAGGTGCAAGTCTTGAGGCAGGAACAGTCTTGATATGCTCAAGGAACAGAATATGTAGCATGGTGAGAGAGAGGTAGGAGGGTTCAAAATGACAGAGAAGTATAGAAAGGGGTAGATCACATGGTTATAGTAATGGGCTTATATTTTCGAAAATGATAAGAATCTATTGAAGAGCAGTAGGTAGAAGACATGATCTACTTTGCATTTTCCAAAGGTCACTCTGTTCTGTGGTGGGTGAATGGTAGAAAAGTATGAGTAACAAGGAGGTTCTATTTGGACTCAAGCGAAGTAATGCAAGGAAGAGATGATGGAGCTTGGACTAGAGTCCTAACAAGAGAGAGAGAAAATCGATACTTTTTTTTTTAAAGAAAGTTTTTTTTTTTTGAGAGTTTTTTTTGCTATAGGGCACATGTGCTTGCCAGAAGAGACAGAGAGACAGACCTGCAAAGGAGATGGCCATGCTGCAATCCCTTCTCTTCCATTCTCCTCCCGAGATTTTGGGCATGCACATACACATGCCTGGTGTGAGTTTAAGCCCCCGGATCCGGGACTCGAACTCTGGTCAACTACATGGGAGTCCAGCAGTGTAGCCATTATGCTATCTACTGGTCTCATGAGAGTTTTGTTTTCTTTTTTTTTTTTTAAGAGAGATTTTATAGGGCACATGTGCTCACCAGAGAGACAGAGAAACAGAAAGCGAGAAATCACCCCCCAGGGGAGATGGCTATGCCACAATCCCTTCTCTTTTACTTTCCTCTCAGGATTTTAGGCATGCACATACATGTGCCTGGTGTGTTTCAAGCTGCTGGATCCGGGACTTGAACCATAGTTGGCCATGTGGTTGGCCTAATCTGGTGATAAAACCATGATGCCATCTGCTGGTCCCCAAAATCGATACATTTATGAAATATTCTTGGGATATTTCATAAATATCCCAAGCAGTTGGCATAGTGGTTAAGGCTCTGGATTCCCATGTGGCCAACCCCAGTTTGAATCTCCAAACCTGGCAGCTTGAAAACTCATGCCAGCCTTGTGTGTGTGCATACCCAAAATCCTGAGAGGAGAACAGAGAAGAAGAGATTATGGTGTCGCTACCTCTCCCCCAGCAGGGGGGGGGTAATTTCTTGCTTTCTGTCTCTCTGTCTCTATTGGCCAAGAGTAAAAATCTCTTTAAAAAAAGAAGGGAAAAAAAGGAATATTCCTGAGGTCAAGCCAGCAGTATTGATGGACTGGATGTGGAGAATGGGAGATACTAGATTTTAGGCTTGAGCAACTGTATGGGTCATAGTGTCATTAACTGAGATGGAAAATTTGAGGGAGCTTCAGGTTGGAGATAAGGATCAAGAGTTCTGCTTTGATGTTATTATGAGTTGTGCAATTCCATGCTATCCCAGGGCAAGCCTGGCTGGTAAAAGGTGGATTCGAGTATGCAGAGCTAAAGGCCAACACAAGTTCTCTTGTTGCCCCTGGGCACCAAAGTTTAGCAGGCACAACTGAGTTCCCTCACTGGAATGCTAGGCCTCGGCTACATGGGGGAAGGAAATGTGAACAGAAGAATGTATTGAGCACCACTCTTCACAACCTCTTCACAAACCTAACTCAGCAGTGACTGTTGTGTGACTGATGTCCCTTAACAAAAGGCTGAGCAGAGATAAAACTCTCACTTTCCTCAGAAGCCCCAGGGAGGGACACACAGTCCTGACAGCTAAAACAGACAAGACCGCAAACTCATCAGCTCTGGAAACAAGAGTGGACAGAATGCCCAGGAATGGAACTGGGCCAACCATACCCACAAGATTCCAACTTGTGCACATCTAAGAACCATTGATAGATGGGGAACCCCTTCTTTCTTACATCAAAAAGTCATAAAATCCTTCCTTTCTATATCCAGGAGCCACTTTATGGAGGAGCAGAGGTAGAATGGGAGGAATCTGAAATGTCGAGCATTTATTTCAAATAGAAACCTAGAGACTGAACCAAATTTATTTCTAGCTCAAGGTTGAATTTCTCCTCATCCTCTCCAGCATTTGGCACTGTCATGTATTTTACTTTTTAGACCACACAATAGGTATGTTGAGGTATCTCATTATGGTTTTAACTTGCATCTTTCTAGTAATTATGTTGAATTTATTTTCACTTATTTACCATCTATGTCTTCTTTAATGTAATGTTTTCGTGTCATTCACCCAAGTTCTAATTGGGTTGTTTGCCTTTTTACTGTTGAATTTTGAGTGTTCTCTATGTATTTTAGCTATTAGTCCAGTTAGATATGTAGTTTGCAAATATTTCTTCCAGTCTGCACCTTGTTTTTTTACCCTCTTAAAAAGGTCTTTCACAGAAGGAAAAAAAAATTTTTTTAATGTTAAAGTGTATTTATTTTTTTCTTTCATGAGTGAGAGAGACAGCACCCTCCAAGGGGCTCTTAACATTAAGGTCCATCTCCACCCTCAGGCTGCCCCAGATCATGAGCATCCTGTACCTGGCATACCCAAGGAGAAGCCCAGACCCAAACTCGAATGTTAGTCAGCCTTGCAGAGCAGCAGGTTTTACTGCTGTGCCACTGACTAGCTTTCAAGTCTTGTATTTTGATGAAGTCCAGTTCATGAATTTTTCCTTTTATTGGCGTGTTTTTTGGTCAAATTTGTAGGCCAGCTCTTAGCTGAATGATTAAGGGAGCTAGATTCCACATGGTCAACCTGGTCCCAGCAGCCTAAAAATCATGCTTGACATATGTACATGCATGTCTCAAATCCTGACAGGATGGAGAAATGGAGAAGGGATTACAATTTAACCACACCCCCTGGGAGGGTGTGTGTTCTCCCTCTTTCTCTCTGGTGAGTACACATGCTTTCTGGCAATTTAAAAATAATCCTTTGCCAGACTCCAGATATCAAAGATGTTCTGTTTCTTTTCTAATGGTTTTATAGTTTCACATTGAAGTCCATGATCCATTTTGAGTTAATTTTTGTATAAGGTGTGTGACTAAGTCAAGATTCTTTTTTTAGCCTGTGGATGTTCAATTTCTGCAGATTATGATGGCAACGAATTCTTTTTCTCTTCTTTTTTCCACCTCAAAATGTCATTTTGTTTTATGTAGTTTGAATCCAGGCAACTAAACTGCCTGCATATAGAATTCTTGTTTGACATCTTTTTTCCTTTTTAAGTCCTTTGTATACACCATTCCAATGTTGTCTGTCCTCAATTGTTTTGATAAGCCAGCTTTTAATCATATCCTTGTTCCCTGTTTCTTTCTCTATACATATTTTCAATGTTTTTCTTTTATCTTTGACTTTCGGCAATTTGATTATGACATTACTAGGCGTGGTCTCCCTTTGTATTTATTTTGCTTGGGATTCATATTCTTGAATCAAGTCCATGTTTTTCAAGAATAGTGATACTTTGGCTTATATATTCAAATATTTTCCTTTCTCTTTCCTTTTTTTTTTATTTTTAATAAATGCCAGAGGGTGGAACAGTCACTTAGTGCAGCAATTAAACCTTGTGCATAGAGGGCCAGATCCCACTAGGCTGACTGCAGTTTGAATCCCAGTCCCAGTGGCTTGAAAAACACACTGGGTACATGTGCATGTGTGCCCAAATCCTGACAGAATGGAGAAATGGAGGAAGAAGGATTGCCATGTGAGTAGGCTGGGTTGTGCTTTCACTTTCTCTCTTTCTCTCTGCCTCCTCTGGCAACAAAAAAAGTCAGAGGGCATGTGTGTGCACATGAGAAAGTACCCCCTCAGTGGGGCCCGTTATGCCACAATCCTTTTTCCACCAATTCTCCATACTTCCAGGATCTCAGTCATGCGTGCCATTCAGCAGCCTAACCGCTGTACCACAGGCTGCCCACAGGTACTTATTTAAGAAAAACGTTTATAGGGACTAGCAGATGGAGTAATGGTTATGTCACTGGACTTCCACCCACATGGCTGCCTTGTTTCAAGTCCCATACCTGGAGGCTTGAAACATGCCAGGCACGTGTGTGTGCATGCCCAAAATCCTGAGAAAAGACTGGAAAGGAAGGGACTACGGTGTGGCTATGCCCCTTGGGGGTGATTTCTCACTGTCTCTCTGTCTCACGCTCTCTCCAGTGAGCACACATGGCCTATAGCAAAAATGTCTCTAAAAAAAAATTTATGGGGCCAACAGATGGTGTGGGTAAGGTGCTCGATTCCCACATGGCCAACTGCAGTTTGAGTTCCAGACCTGGTGGCTTGGTTTCTCACTCTCTCTCTCTCTCTGGTGAGTGCATATATCTCATAGCAAATTAAAATAATAATAATAATAATAATAATGGGATATGATGGATAGTTCTTAAAAAGGAAATATTTATTAAAAAAAACTTAAGAATTTGTGTATGTGTATATTAGCAAGGATTTGGGGATAATCTAAACATTCTTAACTATAGAAATGGCTATGTTAAATGTCCTAAATGTCCACTGGAATACTAAATATATATCTGATATCACTCATTCACTCAGTTATTTATTAAATGCCAACCATGTAACAAATATGTACCATATCCTAAAGATACAGCACTGAATAAAACAAGTCAAGTCCCTAATCTCCCAGATTTTACATTAGTGTGACGTTACATAAAATAATCATATAAACAAATAAATATGCAATAAAAGGGTTCTAATAAATTTTTTGAAGAAAAATTAATGGGGCTGGTCCTGTGGCCTCCTGGTTAAGGGAGGCAGATCCGAAATGGCTGACAATAGTTTTAATCTCAGCCCTGACACCTTGAAAAACATGCTGAGTCCATGGGCAGGCATACCCCAAATCCTGGCAGGATGGAGAAATGAAGGAGAAGGAATTGAGGTGTAACCACACCCCACTGGGGGTGTTTTTTCCTTCTCTCTCTTTCTCTCTGGCAAATGCACGTTCTCCATTTTGCTTTCTCAAACTTGGGGTATTATCTGGTTTCTGCAGTTATTAATTTTTTAATTACATCAGCATTTTCCTACTCCTTCAGCCTCTTACCAATTATCTGTATTAAATGTCTTCTTGTTGAAATACTTGGTATGGTTTCCATTTTCTGACTGGATCCTGACTGACTGACTCAGACAGATATTAAAAACAGCTGAGAATGTAAAAAAAGGTAAGAAATACGACAAGATTTGCAGACAATATTCAGTATAAATAAAGCACATACACAAAAGAACAACTTGCATTTT